TGGCAATGAAGGTGAAGCATCAAGAGCTGCAGAGCCTGAGGAATTCCAGGATCTTCTCAGGTTACATTTCTTGAGAAAGGTATTCACTCTTTCTTCACATGCATTAGTGGCTCACTGAGGTGGCAGGTGCAGTTGAAACCCACAGTTACATTAACATTAGCAGCTACATTACATATCAGCCATATGAAAGCAAGGGCCTGAGGCTTAAGGCAGGACGTGGCTGCCCTAAGGCAAACTCTGAATGCGCTCACACCAACCTCTGTGCTCAGAATAGGCCTGAGACATAACATCACTGTCGACCATGCCAGGTAACTCTTTAGACTTCAAGGGTCCAGAAGTACCATCATATTTTGCCATCTTCTTTCAACTTTCTAAGAATATAAGGACTCATGTTCAGTGATTTTAATTCTTCTCTCTCTAGACTCAAGGAAAAAAGTTCTGTTCCACACCCCGATCCCTGCATTCCCATTGCCGCTTCCCTTCTTGTGATAATTGTTAAAAGAGACCCTTTTTTTTTCAGTGAAGCAGTTTGTGGTTCCTGTTTGACCCTAAGTTCACATAAAAGTTTGATCATATGTCTAATGAATTGGGAAGATGTCTGCAATGTCTCTAATGCATTACTATATGTAAACTCCGTTTTTCCTGTTTTGCTTGGTATTTGCGCCTGCCTGAAGGCATAGAGAGAAATCAAAGGTCAGCTGTTAAAGAAATGAGGCAAGAAAAGAAAACAGTTGACCAGCAAAGAGGCACCTTCTTAAGCACAACAGCCAGGTGCAGAGCTGTGGGAAGCAACTTCTCAGTCCCTGTCCTAGAAAAGAAGATCTTCTGCTAAGGCTGGGAAAAGGCAGATCAGATGACATAGGCCTAACAAAAGCTCTGCCTTCTGTAAGGACAGATGTTGTAAGCACGTTGTATGTACTTTGGGGTGATTTGGGGTAAGCAAGGAAAGACTTCCCTTTTGTGAGGGAAAACACTGACAGAATAGGGACTGGTCCAGAGAAGCCTCCTCTGTGTTCTGTGCTTAAAGATGGGAAAGCGCAAACACCTGAACCACAGCTAGGCACAATTCAGCAGTATTTTGGGGACAGTCAGCTTGAGGTAGAGACATAGCAGGCAGTAGCCCAAAGCAACATATGGCCAGCAGCAGGAGAATCGCAAGAGCTCTGGAACACAAAAAAACCAGAAGTCCAGATATGAGGGAGCAATTCCTTGGGGGTTCTGGAGAATGGTGACCCTCCTCCCATGCAGATGTTACCAAATCACCTCACGTTCCCAGCAGCTTCAGGAAATCCAATTCCCCGGTCTTTCTTCCTAGCTGCTCATCCTATTTCAGTCTCTTCTGTTTACCCTTTCCCTCACATGGTGGCCTGGTTCAACCCTTCACCTTTGCAATGGCAAAATGCCTTGCGACACATTTACTTTGGCTGTGTTGCCCTTCTCAGTAATGCCATGCCATTATCCTTACCCTTACCCATGCCCAGGGCATGGGAGATAGGCTTGTGCAGGCCAGTTGTGCTTGCAGTATTATCAGAGAAACTTCTCTGAGGAAGCTTTGTCAGGGGTCAGACCAGCTGCATTTCCAAGCAGAAGAACTTGGTCTGGCCTCCTGAGGCCTGTTGTGAGTTCTGCGAGTAGCTTTGCTTTTTTGAATGAAGATTACTTCGGTCAATTCCTCGAGGCTGTGCAGCCAAGGTTTGCTGTGGTGTGGTAGAGTATTCTGAACTGCCTGTCCATATGGCTATTCAGACAAGCCTTTTCTAAGCAACGCCGACCTTTACATCCCACAGAGCTTTGCGAGGAGAGTGCCCAAGGGAAGGGAACAAAGGAGTTGGCACATCTTTGCACTCTCTGCATCCCTGAGGTTGTTTGGATCTGGTATGACCTGCTTCAATTGATGGGTGCTTTCACTTGCCCTTGAAGGGTCACTGTGCTCTGACCATGCTGTCCCACTCATCCCAACATGTCCCCCAGGCAGGGAGTCAGCTATCTGCAGCTACAGATACCTCCGCAGCAAGCCCCAGGGAGAAAGAGGAAAACTTTGCTTCCCTGAAGAAGCCTGGCTCCTACGCTCTCTGATTCCCAGGCTCTCACATCTGTTCACATGAATGAGTGCCCCAAACAGGCCGGGCCTCTGAGAAGAAAACCAGCCAGTTGTCAAAGTCTTCAAAAGTCAAAGACTTCAGAAGTAGTGTTATCAGGTGGATTTGTGCATTTTCTACTAAGAAAGCCAGCAAGCACTTGAATGAGAAAAGGGACGGGACAGTCAAGAGTTGGATCAGCCTATTTGTGAGATATATCCGGTTTGCAATGGAAAAGATGGAGGCCCTTCAGAGCCTGGGACATGAGGGCATAAGCAGCAAAGCAGATAGATAGAATCATAGAATCATAGAATTGTTTAGGCTGGAAAAGACCTTTAAGATCACCAAGTCCAACTGTCACAACCATTAACCTAACACTGCCATCCCACCACTAAACCATGTCCCTAAGCACCTCATCTACCCGTCTTTTAAATACCTCCAGGGATGGGGACTCAACCACTTCCCTGGGCAGCCAATTTCAGTGCTTGACCACCCTTTCATTGGAAGTTTTTTTCCTAATGTCTAACCTAAACTTTCCCCGGTGTAACTTGAGGCCATTTCCCCCCAGTCCTATCGCCCGTTACCAGGGAGAAGAGACTGACCCCCACCTCGCTACAGCCTCCTGTCAGGCAGTTGTAGAGGGTGGCAAGGTCTCCCCTCAGCCTCCTCTTCTCCAGGCTAAACAACCCCAGTTCCCTCAGCCGCTCCTCATCAGACTTGTGCTCCAGACCCCTCACCAGCTTTGTTGCTCTCCTCTGGATGAGGTCCACCAACGCAACGTCTTTCTTGTAGTGAGGGGCCCAAAACTGAACACAGTATTCAAGGTGCGGCCTCACCAGCATCGAGTAGAGGGGCACGATCGCTTCCCTGGCCCTGCTGGGCACACTATTCCTAATAGAAGCCAGGATGCCATTGATGCCTCTTCGGGCCTCTGTTTGCTCCACCTACTCCTCAAATATCCTGTATTTTTCTTTTTTTCAGAGATGGAGGCTCCTGCTCTGGTGATTCAGACCAGTGTTGCTGGGGTAAAGGGGAAAGAGGCCAGAAAGAACACAGTTTGCTGTGCATGCAAGGGCACTTCTGTTTGTTTGATGTATCTCAAAAATTGCTGTAGAGATTATGCGTTAAATACTTTTAAAAATTTATTAAACACATAAAACACAGCTCTTGTCCAAGATCAAAATAAGTATCTTCTCAGTGATAAACAATGAAGCAAAGAGGAATGTAAAAGAAGTTGTATTTCAGTCATCACATGTACAGTCATCATACATGTACTTTGTCAACAGGTGACTGGAAAACTGGATCCCATACAACCCAGGTGACAGAACTGGGGAGATAATCTCCTTGGAACAGCTGCAGCTCTGCTAGAACCAGGTTCACCTACCAGCAGAATAAGGTTCTGCCACTTTCTCTCGTAAAGGAACGGTGATTAAGACTAATTCTAAGAATATCCCTCACCTCTGGACTCTTATTTGCATTGCATAGCAGCTGTGCTAATACTCATCCTGCTGTGAAGGATGACACATGGATTTCTAAACATGGTCCTGCCAGGGGACACAAAACCGATGCTCAGGAGGTGCCTCTGGGGGGAAAGAAAGAAAGAAGGGATAACAGAGAACACTAGGGTGAAAAAATTTATTTCAGAGACGTCATTCATCCATTTGTCTATCTTAGGTATTTCTGAAGTGCCATAGTCTCACTGTAGTATCTAAGCACCATTAGCACAACAGGAATTTACAGTATTCTACAGAGCTCCCTCAGCTGGCAGGAGGATCTGGGCACCAGCTGGTGACCATGGGTCTGGGGTGGACTGTGCTAGGGATGGTATGCTGGAATGATTGTAGCTAATTACCTTTCACTTTTTCCAGTAGTCTCCCACTATAATCCTGAGGGAGGAGACGGCTGGTAGGGAAGCCCGTGAGCTAGCTAGTAAACCTTCTGGTTCTTGACTTTTAGCACATGCCCATACCTCTGTCTTCTGAATTTGGCTTGTGAGTTTGTGCTGCCCACAGAGCAATTAAATCCCTGGAAGACGAGGAACATACCCTGTAACTTCTGCAACAGCAAAGGAAGGGTGGTGCCCAGATCCTCCTCTCCAGCTACGTGATCACAAACAGCAAAGGGCAGGCAGGCTAGGGGAAGTGAATTATTTCAGCCAAGTGACACTGAACAGGGAAAACTAACAGCGGCTGTGGAAAGGAACTCCAGAAATGTGCTTACACTGGTGAGCAGCCCAGTCCTAGCCGCTAAGACTACTGCACTGGCAATGTGTTGTGAACCCTAAGGCCACTTTGATTTGGCATACAGTTTTAAATAAGTTCATAAAGATCTTAGAAATAAACACATGTCAATCCTTGTAATTTATAGAGCACTGTTAAGTAACACAGCACTTCACAAAGCACATAGAAAGGAAAAGAAATGCTCTGAGGACTGCTGCAAAAGCATATTTGGGGGCAGCTGGCTTCTCAAACGAGAATCTCGATGTGAGAGGGTTTCCCTTTGAGTTGAGCTCAGCTATGCGCAGACCTGGGTTCGATTCCATTTATCTGCTACAGCGACTCCGTTCAGATTGCCAAGAGAAAAGCTGCATTCACAAGATGCCTTTCCCTGGCAAACAGGGCTTCTCAGCCAAACAGACAGTTTTAGTGCTGTAGATCTCCTTTAGGAAGCTTAAACTGGAATTGGGTCAGACCCACACAAATTGATCAGTTCTACAGCTGGACTGCAGTATAACCTCTGAATTCAGTTAAAAATGAGCCGACCAACTGAGAGGTGTAGTATCCCTCCTGAAAGTCTGCTAGCAAATTAAAATCTTGACACTTCTGGAACCATTACTCACATTTCCAAGCTGCCTTCCAGAAGTAGAATAGAAATCAAGAAGTCATTGGTTTGAAGCTGTTCATAAAAAACCAAACCAAACCAAAAAAAACCACACACAAAGCTAAAAGCAAAAATGTGCATTTGCATTGAAAGCTTTGGTTTCTATGTAAACAAAGCCCATCCCATTTCTGAAAGCTCCTTCAACTTCCCTGAGCGGCTACACATAAAGGTGCCTTGTTCCTCTAGGAGCTGCAAGCAATTTCATGCTCCCCCTACAGCTCCTTTTTATTAAATTATATGAACAAAACATTTTATCAGTAGAGTGTCAAGAAGTGGCTTGGGGCTTGCAGAAAGGATCCCTGCAACCCTTGGAGAGTAGCAAGTTCTGTAGAGCAAGCCATTCACAAGCATCCCTGCCAACAGCTGCTCAAATCCATGGATCTTCTTAGCATCGTTATTTCCTTCATCTCTTCTACACCACAGCTCCAGTCCTTTCACTGGCTTCAGCCTGCATTCCTTCTACCAGAGACCTACTGAAGCCACGGAGCCAGCTGCAGGATTAGTAAAGTACACTGCAAACCCAGAAATCTTTTCTAAGCTCCAGCAGTGCTGGATAAGCAAAACTAGTTGGGTATCATCACTAAAATGATCAGCAGCAACACAGCCAAAAATATAAACAACGTAAACTGTTGCACTGCGATTCCTTGTAGTTAAAACCATGAGGGGTGTACATCCTACAACAGCCACTGGTAGGTACCTGTGTAAAATGAGGGGGAGAGCACTACGCCGAGTGACATTTAGAAGTCATTCCTTGCAACCATAGAGGCCACATATTTTTATATAGCTATATAAAGAAATAATTCAATTCCAGATCTTACACACAAACACACACACACACACACACAAAGTAATCAGTGTAAAACTGAATGTCCTGATGTGAAAATTCAGATGTTTTGGTACAAAACCTATTTCTCTCAGCTTCTTACTAAGAAATGCTAGTATGTACATTATGTTCAGCATTTTGAGAAGTATTGATATGGTGTAGTGTCACACAGCTGGCCGTTTTGACCACTGCCACAGCGTGTGCACTCATGATCGCTCACACATGAGTGGAGGTATACTTAGTGTAAAAGCTAGTTCGTACATATGTGACTACATACGTATAGATGTTATTTACACACATGCGCACACACACTGCTCAAAATGGGACTTGAGAAATACTGGTTTGGAATCAGGTCAGTCCCAGTACCCTGTTGTTCCATCTGTCCCATTTTGCAACACAGATTACACCAGCCCACTTGAACCATATCTGTGATTCCAAATTCTGCAGAAAGAGGAGGCTACCAGTACAAACTCACAGGCGACCTCCATACACCTGTGAAGTTGTGTACCACAGTCTTAGCAGCAGCAAGTATAATTCTGAGTATTTTTTTTTAAGCCTCCAGGTATGACAGTTTTCTACATCAGTTACCTCACCAGTTCCAAGATTTCAGAACAGGCCACGTCCCTATCCTGCAGCTCCGTTGTTGCTACCATCCAAGCAACATTTGCAGAAAACCTTTGCAGGCATGCCTTCCTTTCTGGTTTGGGGTATGCCTACATGTTCCTTTTACAAGCAGACCCAAGTGGTCTTTGCCTGTGCTTCAAGCTGGCCCGCACACTGTATATGCATCATGCTGAATCTCCAGCTTCTCAGCAGGATTTACTTAGCTTTGACCTTCCTGACTGCTGTATGAGACACAGAGCTGGCACGGTGAGCTTCCATAGACCTGTGCAATATTACATAGATCACAACATTTTAGCTGTGAGTGGAACAAAGCCCTTAAGGACCCCATCTCCCACCTTATTTCCCTCGACACGACCACACACGTGTATATTGCATGACCAAGCAGCTTCTCATCATGATACCTGATGTTTTGCGTTCTCTCCTCAGGGTTCCAGGCAACCACCTCTCACAGGGAGGTGGGAGAAACATCTGCACCTTGGCCACGTGGCAGATGGCATCCGATTCTAGTACCAGGATGCAGAACTACCCACTGCAACCCCTGCTCACTTTTTGTCCATGCCTGAGGTGCATTGGGAGGAGGAGATGACTGAAAAGGGCAACATGGGCCAAAGGCATTACTCTGGCCAGCTGCCTATAATCCAGGGGCCCTGGTGTTGTCACACCCTTGTCCACCCCCTTGTCCCTTAGGCACATTTTGGACAGGCCTGGACCAGCAGCTGCATCCTAGATCACCCCCAGAATTCACCTAGCGACACTGCCTACCACACATGCACCCGCTGGTGTGAGACTAAGTAGGAATTGCGACTGAAGCTCTTCCCACAGTGGGAGCACTTGAAAGGTTTCTCCCCGGTGTGGGTGCGACGGTGACGGATGAGGGTAGAGTTGTCACTGAAGCAGGTCCCACACTCAGCACACTTGTAGGGCTTCTCCCCAGTGTGGGTGCGACGGTGCTGGACAAGGTGCGAGCGCTGGCTGAAACTCTTTCCACAGTCAGGGCACAAGTATGGCTTCTCACCTGTGTGGACGCGCCGGTGGATGACCAGCTTAGAGCTCTCACTGAAGCACTTGTTGCAGTCAGCACACTTGTAGGGCTTCTCGCCCGTGTGGAGCCGCTGGTGGGCAATGAGGTTGGAGCTGTCGCTGAAGCGCTTCCCGCACTGGGGGCACTTGTAGGGTTTCTCACCTGTGTGAAAGTTGGCATGGCGGAGCAGGCCTGAGTTCTGGTAGAAGTTCCTCCCACACTTGGCACAGACATAAGGCCTCTCGCCAGTGTGGTTGCGCTGGTGCTGCACCAGGTGGGTGCTCTGGCTGAAGCTCTTCCCGCAGTCCTTGCACTGGTAGGGCCGCTCACCCGTGTGGACACGCTGGTGCTGGATGAGGTGGGAGCGTCGGCTGAAGCTCTTGCCGCAGTCAGCACACATGTACGGCTTCTCCCCGGTGTGGATCCTCTGGTGGCGGATCAGGTCGGAGCTGCGGTTGAAGCTCTGCCCGCACTCGACGCAGATGTAGGGCTTCTCTCCCATGAATGCCGGCTGGTGTACCACCGTCTCCTTCCGCTTCCGAAAGCCGCAGCGAGAAGTCTTCTCCAGCCCCAGCCCCGTCTCTGGGGAGAGAAGGTCTGGCCTTGGGCGAGACACCTCCCGGTCGCAGCTTGGAGGAGAAGCTTCCCTCATGAAAAAGTCTGAAATGGTCCCACAGGGTTCGGCTGCCTCCAGCCCATCTCGCTGGAGATCCCCCTCATTTTCACTCATGCTCCCATCACCTGCTGGGACAGACGGAGAGTCCAGACACACCCGACGCCTTTAGTCATGGCCCGCACCCCCTCTTCTCCGCCCAGCCTGGCCGCCGCAGCC